TCTTTCTTTCTTTCTTTCTTTCTTTCTTTCTTTCTTTCTTTCTTTCTGCAATGTGAGGTGGCCTCATATTCTATGGTGTCAAGTCAATTCCTTTCTTGGGTCCTCCAAGGAGAATTTGAGAGCCATCCTTCTACTTAACTGCCTTTTCATTCTCTTTTCTGACTTCCTACAAGAGAGAATGTCCCTGATTATGTAGCTCAGAATCTGCAACTGCATGGTCTCCCCTCAGAGTGGCTTAGATGAGGAGCTCCAAGTTAGTGTACTAGCACTTGACATTGTTCAGAGATGAGCTGAAAGCTATGATATTCTGATCACATGTGGCCCTCTTTTTACAATATTTGATGCCATAACAAGTTCTGAAATGGGTTCTGGGAGCTACTGTCGGCATTTTACAGATTATTTTTACCACCGTAATTGGAATTTCCAGAATTCTTGCCTTTGGCTTAGGTCAGGAGCACTCGGTTTCACCTCCTTGGGCCATTTTGCTTCTTCTTCTCTCTTGGGGCAGAGTTAGGGCCATGCAAGGTGGCCCATAGACCACCTCAGAAGCTCAGCCTGGGCCTCCTGGAGAAGGAAAGCAGCCACATGGCTCTGAGCAAAGTCTTGGCAGCCTTAACAACCAAGAAGCTCTAGGCCCTGGGCCAGGAGGAACCGAGACAGTGTGCATGGCCAAGATTCCAGGGAGCTGGGACTCCTGTGGGCAGCAGCAGCCAGTCACCCAAATGGCTTTGATGAAATCCAGAAGTCCCAGACTTTGGGGCAGTAATATACTGGCAGTCCTACACTCTCAGCTTAGCAAATACTGGCCTTTTAATGGAAAAAAGAATGAGCCAGTGAGAGAGAAAAAAGACATGATCCCCTTCCCCCACCCCACACACAACAGCTGCTCTGTCCCTTTAAGATGTGTGTCCTTGGGGGGAGGATGGAGGACAAAGGCCTGAGTAGAACTGGTGAATGGCAGGGAGAGATGGCCAATCCTCATGGGATCAGACACATTTGCTTCCACCCACATTTTCCCAGTGAACTTTCACCTGTGCTATCTTTCCCCACCCCCTGGCCAGTTTCTCTAGGGAAGTATAGAATTTCTGTTTCTCTTTGCAGACATCAGCAGCTACAGCTGCAGAACTTCCTTGTTCTTCTGTAGAAAGACCCAGTTCGGCATTTGGTTTCTGTCATCACTGGTGGGACCTGCACTGTCTTATCACCTGCCCTGGACTCTTCTGCAGGGCTCACCAACAATTATCTTTGAGTCATTGTTCATCGTCCTCTCTTTACCTCCTAATCTGACCCGGGTTCAGATGGTGACTCCAGAGGCCCCCAATGATGTTTCTTTCTCCCAGGGCATCCGTATGATGTTCTACATCATGAAGCCCAATGAGACATCCTTCCCAAGCTTGGAGGAGGTGCCTGACTATGTGAAACAGGTAAGATCTGGGAGCACAGGACAAATTTTCCTCCCAGTGCAGAGAGACACAGAGCAGGACAGAGTTACAGGGGGAGAGAGAGAGAAAGACAGAGAGAGAGAGAGAGAAAGAGAGAGACAGAGAATATATACAAGTCACCTCCTGCCAGCACTAAGCACTAACGAGATATTTTTATTGTTAAATAACAGTGACATTATCATATGGCCACCATAGTGATAGGTAGTAGACCTGTGGTTCCATTGGCATTGGGGACTCTTGGCTGAGGAAACTCCCTCTACCAAGGCAGGTTGGCCCTTTCTCTATAACTGGAGTTGTCGGGTGTACTGAGAATTTCAGTGACTTGCCAGGATCACATAGCACTTGAACCTGGACACTTTGGAAAGAGCTCAAAATAGAGTAAGGAACCATCTTTGAATCTTGTTTCCAGCACCTACTGGTCATATGACCATAGGCAAATCCCTTTGTTTATTTGACCTCAGTTTCCCCCTTTTCAAAAATGACTTGTTCCTACTTTGCAGGGGTGTTGTGAGATTAAAGGAGAGAATATAAAGTCTGGAAAGCAAACTTTAAAGTGCTCTGGGAATGTTGGCTTTTATGGTCATTAAAGATTAAATATCCTCTATGCACCAAGCACTTTCCCAGGCCGTAAAGATTTGAGAACAGTAGTAAAACATGGCCTGCCCTCCAAGAGCTTACATTCTATTGAGGGACACAAAATGCTCCTCTCTAGATGGAAACCAAATAGGGATGAGGTGATTGTAGAGAGAGATGCCCATTGGTGATGGAGCAGCCCAAGAAATTCAAGGAGAAGGCAGGGATGAGGAGAGACAATATTCTAGCCCTGGGGGTCAGCGAGTGCAAAAGCACAACAACAACAGTCATCTATCACTTTAAGGTTCATTAAGCACTTTACAATTATTGTCCCATTTGATCCTCACAACAACCCTGGGAGGCTGGAGCTATTATTTACTCCCATTTTACAGATGAGGAAACTGAGATGAACCAAGATTAAATAGAATACCTGGGATGATAAAACCGGTAAATATCTAAAGGCAGGGTTTGAATTTAGGTGTTTCTGAATTCTGTTTGAATTCTGGAGTTTCTGACTCCAGGCCCAGCACTCTATTGCTATGGGTGCCCCCTAGCTGCCTAGGAAAACCTGTTTGAGAGTAGGGATCTTGGACTTGGGAAATATCAGGCTTCATATCCTGCCTTTGGTGATTATTAGCCATATGGCCATGGACAAGCATGAGCTTCAGAATCTTCACCTATAAAAGAGTGGTGGTGGTGATAACACCTAAATTATTTCATAGAAGGCTCAAATGTGAGAATTCAAAGTCTGTGTTGAAAATTTTTAAAGGCCTTATCAATTATTATCCTCATTATCTCCTTTTTCTAAGAGGTAGTTGGCAGATCTGTGATGACTCCAGCCCATAGGATCCCAGGTTCCTCTCTTATGTTTTAATTCCTTTGGTTGGTGCTCCCAGATATGATAAAGTTTAAGAAACATTCTAATCCCTGCTAGCTGTCATGCTTTGCCACTAGGAGATCTGGGCAAAAGAACCCCAAATCCAGGGTACTTGGTTTTCAGTCTATGAGAGAGACTAATGGATATTTAATGGTCTGAAGAGATGCTCTCCCTACTTTTACAGTGGAAGCAGGATGCCTGTACTGTGAGTATGTCCACCAGTTGAGTGTATGTTGTTCTCTCCCAGGCTGACCTCAGACCAAGATTTCTCTGAAATTCCTCGCTGTGCAGAACCACCGTTCAATCCCAGGCTCTGGCAGGGAATAGAAGTGGAAACAACCAGAATTAGAACCCGACATATCAAAGCCCCACACCCTCTCTGAGCTGTTCTTGTGGCATTTACCAGCTCAGGCCAGAAATAGACAAAAACATGACGGGAGGGAGAATGTTCTTCAGAGGTGGGTTTGGAAAAGTTCAGAACAGCTGTCCTGCTTCCAAGTGTTTGGATGCTTTGGAAAATGGAGCCCTCATTGAAAACCCCTTTCTGGATTGCCTGCTACATAGCTTCTTTCTAATGTGAAAAAGGAAAAATTGAACTGTTCATTTAAATAAAAATCTAGATCTATTGATGATCATTCTCCAGAAACACTTTCTCTTAGTTCCAAGAAAATACCTCACATTCACCTACTATTTTGTCTCCAAATTGCTTTTCTCACAAGACTCCTACAAGACAGGTAGCACAAATACTATTCCTTCCTTCTACTATTTTAAAAATGGGGAAACTGAGGACCTAAGAGGCAAGATGACCTATTCAGGTAGGAAATACATGTGGAAGATACCACATCATGTCTCCTTACTCAAGATCTAGGTCTCTTTCCCTTGAGTATCAACCATCCCTAAGATGGAACTTGATGGAATGAACCCTGACCAAGAAAAGGATATTTCTGTAAAGATATTTCCTTAAATATGACTTGCTAGAAAAACTGCTAAAATGTATTTTTCTCTCAATTTTAATAGTTAATTATTGAAGTGACTACACCCAACAATGTAGAGACTTGCCCGGAGTCACAATCCCCGAATAGAGCCTCCTTCTTTGGGTTTGATTGGTTTCATTTAGGTCACAGTGTCTTAAAATTGCGACTTCACGGGCCATCTTGACTAACCTTTAACTAAGCAGGGACACCACCCTCTCCCTAACCTGCCAGTGTCCAACCACATCTGAGTAATGTGTTCTCTAATACCTTGATATGCTTGTCTTTTTAGGCCCAACCAGGAATCTTCTGTTTTATAACCCTAATAAAGCCTTGACTGGCAGCATGATATAACGGAGCCAGCCTCGGAGTCTGGAAGACCTGAGTTCAAATCTCCCCTCTGACATATCCTTATATGTGTGACCCTGGGCAAGTCTCCCACTCTCTTACTAGCCCAGGAAACCCACCAAGGCTAGAAGTTGCAGAACAGATATTTTTCTGCATTGGCAGAGGGGATATCCTCACCAGAAATGCCCTTCACCCAAGGAATGATACGTACCATCTTCTCACCAAACAGAGGGTCTTATTGTCTTTTTTTCCCCCATGTGGATCTATCTTTCCACCAAACTCAACAGGACAACGTAGGCAGCCCTCTACCCCGTATCCCATGGCCTCCTTTTCCCCAATGAGCAGAAGAAGGTTGTCTTGATGAGATGAATAATCAGGAAGCTGAACAATTCCATGAATATTGTTTGCTGTGCATAAATGTGTCTTCTGGGAATTTCCTTTGCAGGCGACACCATTTTTCATTTCCTTGATGCTGCTCGAATTGGCCCTTAGCTGGATCCTCAAAGGGAAGCTAGCAGGACGAGTGGACGACGCTTTAACCTCCATCTCAGCAGGAGTACTGTCTAGGCTTCCAACGTGAGTGAGACCATTGGGTTATAGGGAATGAAGGCACATGAATACTCCCAAAACAGAGAAAAGGAAAGTGGTTTATTTTATGCAGACATGTCTATGTTACAGCTATTATGTGGAAAAGTCTGCTACGTCCTAATGTAGAAAATCCATCTGTCTCTGGTGAATTCAGTTAGACGGGTCACCTGAGGTATTCAGAAACTCAGTCTGGTTATATTTTCCCCTTCCTTCCCCTAATCACTGCTCCCACACATGGAACCTTCCATCAGAATACAGGCCAAGCAAAAAAGAAAGAAAGAAAGAAAGAAAGAAAGAAAGAAAGAAAGAAAGAAAGAAAGAAAGAAAGAAAGAAAGAAA